TGCGTCAGCATGCGTAGGCTGCAAAGGAACAAGTAATAGGTTTATTCCATGCTGAAAAAAAGAAGAAAGAGAACACAACGTTTCGGCCGTGGAGCCTTAAGAAGGCTCCACGGCCGAAACGTTGTGTTCTCTTTCTTCTTTTTTTCAGCATGGAATAAACCTATTATTTATACAGTATGTTGTTATTGCTGTTATAAACTGTTATAAAAATGATTATATATCCCTAAGGTTCTGGCTCAAACTGTGGTCAAGATTATGCTTTTGATACTAAAATTCAGTTAATCTATCAGTCTATAAATACTTTAGAAATATATACCTTAGGACCCCAAAAAGTATTGTCCCTAAAGTAATGCAAAAATTGTGTTTAATTTTGTTATTTTGTTTAAAGTACACAACAAGTAAGCATTGTTTCTTTATGTTATTTTGCCAAAAATAGAGCAGTTTGACCTGGTCATAAAAATGTTCTGATAGTCCAAGCAGAGGAAGCAAATATATTTTTCTTTATATCAAACTGGTGCTGTTTTTTCAACTACAGGCTACCTGGGCTACACCAGTGGGTTCTCACTAAGCTGTATGGTGTTTTTTCTCATTGTGGTAAGTTCTACCTGTCATAGCTTCATGCTGTAAAAACACATTTTAAAGCTACTTATCTATAAAGCAGTCCACTTTGGTCTTAGAATTCACAGGCATATTGAAATTTAAAGCAATAACATGTTCTTTTACAGTACGTATCACACTTGGACACATGATGGATTTTTTAAAAAGCTTGAAAAGGCAGCAAACATTTTGATTCTGTGCCTTTGTTTTAGATCTGTGTTTGCTCTTATTCTTAAATATAATTGCTGAAAGAGCTGTGGTGAGGTTTTTTGACGGAATTATAGTTTTTATCAGTTACCCTTATCTCCTTATGTTTTCTCTGCAAAGCATGTCTGCAATGGTGCTGCTGGTAACATGTAAGTGATGGAAAACAATGTTTTTTAACATTATTGATTGCCTGCAGGTCATCTATAAGAAGTTCCAGATACCGTGCCCCTTTTATGACTATAAACATAACGCCACAGAGGTTTTTAACACAAGCACAAGTCTGGATCACTCCAGTGGCTACCTGAATGGCCACAGTCAAGAGACAGTAGAGCATGACTGCAGCCCTCGTATGTTCACCCTCAACTCCCAGGTACAGTGAAGCAGCCAGCACCTCTCTCTACCTTACGGATGGTAATTGTGCCCTTCACATTGAACCTCTGTATTTTCAAAGCTAAGAGTTGTGCTCATTCTTACAGCTGACTATTTTACAGAGGACATCTGTGCAATTACAGACACACGCACAACAGCTGTACCATACTAGGGATTTGAACTTGCATCCCTCCAATTAGGGGAGCAAGAACCCTCACTTCTAGTAAAAGCCGTTTACTAGCAAGCTGCAGTTCTGTGTCTGAGTAGATTAGCCAATGAACACAAAGCCCCATCTATATTTTGTAAAGAAGATCATCAGCATTTCTGCTATCTATTATTTGGGTCCAGTGAGCAATTTTGAAGGTGGGGCTTAATTGTCTGGCATTGGTTCTCCTATTGTTTCAAATTCATTACTAGTTTGTTGGCAAATACCAGAGGAAAAGCAAGTAAGAGGAAAATCCGCAGACATCTAATTTGGGTAATTGATTGCTCAGTATGTCAACCCCTCCACCTCCCGCAGTCATCTCTGACTAATGGTTCCAGACAAGTTTAACTGAGCTGGTATTACCATCATTCTAGTTATCTTAGAATTATGTTTTTAAGACCTCATTATGTGAGCACAGTGAGTATCTATGAAGCAGATTTTTCAGAAAAGGTTTGAAACCTAATTATGCATTTATTTCTTGCCTTTTTGTTATCATATAATTGGACCATTGTTCTCTGTGGAAGTCTATGTCTTACTCACTGAAGACTGAAATTTCTTGTCCAAACACCTGCAATGTGAACATGACACCAAGCCCTGATGTTTTTTATCTGCATTATGCTGATATGTTGATGCTTTATGGTTTCTTTTGGTTACCTTTTACATTTTGATTTCCTGAAAGTAGTATTTGACAGTTCTCTTTTATGAGAATATGAGAGTATGATTTCCTCAAAAGTCACTATTTCCAAAATATGGAAACAAAACAAGTGAATTTGATAGGAACACACATGCAGAATTTCTAAAATGTGAATCCTGCAATTATCTGAATTCAGTTAACACTTGAGAATGATTACTCATACTAACTGTAATACACACAAAGCAGCAGGAAATAATAAATGCTGTAAATGTCAAGCCTGTGGCTGTACTGTATTGTAATTTTAAAGTGGAGCATTAAACACATGAAAGAGAAAATAGTGTGCGACAGTGACACAATAGCAAAGGACAACATGAGATTTTTTACTTTAAATTTTTAAGCACTGAAGTCTAGGTGTGCATTCCATTCATTACATGCCATTAATGTAATGAACATCCTGGTTTTATGAATGTACATTTTTTTAAAACATGAAAAGGTTTTAACGGTTGTGCATTGTAATGTCTTTTACCTTATGTTATGCTATGTCTTTGTTCCAGACGGCCTATACCATACCAATCCTGGCGTTTGCCTTTGTGTGCCACCCAGAGGTTCTGCCTATCTACACTGAACTTCGCAAGTATGTGTGGTTGAAACAGTAGACTTATGTAGTGTCTGTCTAGTGCAGCACTTTTTTAATCGTGGTTCTGCAGGACCCCATACTTTCTATTTTTTTGTTCTAACAAAGCTTTTCAATAATTACAATTATTGAACCCTTAATTTACCCAACCATGTACTTTTTAACCCTGTTCCTGTACTCAAGTTTCATTGTCATTATTCTCATTTATGTGTATCTGTGTCCAAGAAATGTTGCAAACAGATCTCTCTTTCAGCTTGGTTTAAAATGTCAGTGATGTATGTACCCACTGTTTAAATTCCATCCTGGAACGGTAGACCTAACTGAGGAAAAATCAGAATCCCAGTTTCTCATACAGGGTTGACGCTAATTGCTTCCAGTATCCAAAATCTGAAACTGAATTTCTAAGAGTAGTTTAATTAAAGTCTCACTGATTTACAGTATAGTGTCAAGTCCTCTCCACCTGCAAAGCTTTACTCTTTTGTGTCTGTAGTGTTTTGATCATGCGTTACATTCTTTAGCTTCTCAATTGCAGGGCTCCTTCAGATTGGTAATGCAGTGCCAGGCCATTATCAAAGCTAAAACACACAAAGCAGTTCACCGCAATTACTCAACCAACTCTCCATGCCGGAATTGGTTGTATAGAGTGGTTGCCAAGCAACTCTTAGCTACCTTGGCCTAATATTTGACTAGATAAATTATTTGTGTTATAATTTAAAAAAAATAACCCTTTAAATCCAGAAGCAGTGTCTTTCCAAAGAAGCAACAATACCAGATTCAAATGTTGATATTTCAGGGATTTGTGTTGCTTCCTCCTGGGTCACATTCCTTTTCTCCAAGTGTGCGAGTCTGGACGCGCTGTGTTATTTTCTCTCTCGTTGTTTCCATGCCCATCTTTTCTAATTTCAGCCCCAGCAAGAGGAAAATGCAGCGCGTCTCTAACATCTCCATTGCTGTCATGTACACCATGTACTTCCTAGCAGCTCTATTCGGATACCTGACTTTCTATGGTGAGGTTTCTCCTGCATTAGTCAGGCAGTGTGCCAGAGGCCCCAGCCCAGTGCCTTCAGGGATAGCTCTCTTTGCTTCGGCACGCAGAAGTCACACTTACTTTTTCCTTATTCCTGAGGGAGGGTCCCTTCTACTTTTGCCCAACATGGTCGAATTCAAATTGCACCGCTGTTTAGAAATGAGGGACTGTGTTTTTGTGAGGGTAGGCATTGGCCAAATATTTTGTCTTTTACGGAGTGGACAGCGACAGATTCACCTCACTGTAGTTTAAACAGTTAAAATAAAAAGATTTCAGAAAAGTGTCAAGGGACTTTTTGTGAACTTCACTGTTCTCTTACTTTTTATTATTTCCTTCTTGCCTGTGGCCTGAAAGAAAAGGAAATATAATGTGACAGCACCACCTGGTGCTCACTTCCTAATACTACTCTGGTTGTTGTATGTATGAGCCTTGTAATTCAGGCTCATGATTAAAAATACCATATATTTTCTGTAACGTTGAATTCACCTGTCTTACAGAGAGAGTTGAGTTTTTATGTATAGTATTCCTCTCATTGTGCTCGAAATTGCGGTACTAGTTCTAGAGGCACTTTTTCACTGTTCATTGTGAAGTCAGCTGGGTTGACTTTGTCAGTGCCTTTGACAAATACCTGAATACTCGTAACAGGAATAGTCTTTTCTGTTCAAGACACACTGTCTGTCTCTCTGCAGGTAATGTGGAAGCTGAGCTGCTGCACACCTACAGCCGCATTGACCCCTATGACACGCTGATTCTGTGTGTGAGGCTGGCTGTGCTCACTGCCGTCACTCTAACTGTGCCTATCGTCCTGTTCCCGGTGAGTGGGACACCTGGGCCTTCAGCCAACAAGGGCTTTAACTTAGCTCAGGTCCCATCGTCAAGACTTCTTTCCCACACTTACAGGTGTGGTGTTAATCTGGAAATCAAAGGACAAAAACTACACGTAGTGTACTTTAGTCACCAAAAAGTAAACTAAAAACATCATTGCTGTGCCATGTTAATGGAGATTTATGAAAAGAGGTTTTGGGAAATAAAACAACGTATTTGATCATCAAAACTTTCAGCACTGAGTTTAAAAATGTGCATGCTATTCTTCAAGAATTGCTATAGGAACTGCTTGGCCAGAGTACCGTGTAGAGTTAATAAAAACATCTTTGGATATTATGTACCATTTATTGGTACATGATTTTTGGGATGGTAGTGTAGGTGCCTCAATGCCTCAGCTGTGCTTGCTGGCCTGCTGTCACTCCTCCCTCTCCAGGCCCAGTGATTTACTCTGTACCCTGCAGGTGCGGCGAGCTATTCAGCAGATGCTGTTTCCCAACAAGACCTTTAACTGGCTGCGCCACGTCATCATTGCCGTGTGCCTGCTCACGCTCATCAACATGCTCGTCATATTTGCACCCAACATCCTCGGCATCTTTGGGATCATTGGTGAGTCTGATTGGTCGCCTTCTGGCTCTTGAACTGGCACAGGGCTCCAGCAGAACTAACCCTGTAAAATGTCGTGCTTACGGGAACTTTAATAATTAATTGCTGGATAAATAGTTGCTGGACCCTGTTTTGTAAGGATGGATCCTTGATTTTGTTTGTCCTGCTTTAATCCATTTTAAACTGAATGAAAGTGAGTGGCATGGTAGTGCAGTAGTTAGCATAGCTGCCACACAGTGTTGGGGCCCTGGATTAAATTCTGGACCTAGGCTGCTATCTGTGTGGAGTTTATATGCTCTGTCTGTGTTTGCGTGGGTTTTCATCAGGTGTTCAGGCTGTTCACTGTCTAAAGATATATTGGTAGGTCAATTGGCTTCTGGGAAAATTGGCCCTGGTGTGAGTGTGTGAGTGTCTGTGTCTGTGTGTCCCCTGTGCTGGACTCGTGTCCCGTTCAGGATGTACCCTGCCTTGCTTCCGTTGCTTGCCGGGGATAGGCTCCAGCACCTCCCCAACTCTGAATTGGAAGATATGGTTAGAAAATGAATGGACAGATGAATATACCTAAATGTACAGTATTGGAAATATTCCTGGAACACAAAAAAAACAGATATAACACAAAACGTTAATCTCATTTCATGTGGGAAAATGAAATGCACCATAATAAAGTCATGTGTTGCTATAATACTCAGCAATTTAGAAAAGTGCCACAGCCACATAAGGAATATACAAGTATATGTGGTGATACCACAGTACCGTGAGGAATGTGTGCTGATTTCTATGGCTCCAGGGAAGGACATATGACAAGCACGTAGAAATCGTACATCTTCATGTGACAAATTGTAGCCTGGCTCCATGTTTCAGCAGTATATGCAAGACCCTTTTGAGGGTACTCAGAACTGGAACTGTTGATAATAGAAGTCAGGGTACAAAGCCCAGGCTCTCCTGATATTATGTTAAATACCTCAGAGTATGTACTGTACTGTGCGTGACAGATGGCTATCCACCAGACTTGGAGTGAAGTGTAACTTGCATTCCATGTCATTATCATTCCAGTCCAAGCCTGAGCCATGAGTTGCAAATTCCTTCTTTTGAAGGCCTTATCAGAATCTCAAGTCCTACAAACAAACATAATCAAAATTTCCATTCAATTCGTGCAGATCTTGCTAATGACCTGATTTGGTGCCTGAAAACCAGTACTGAGGAGAAGAAATTAAGCAAAAAGGCAGAAATGGGCTACCAATGTAAAATACATCCATTAGGACTCATTAGCAGTAGTATATGCCTTACCGTTCTGTATTTAAGATGAACACTTGTACTTGAATCTAGTTCATTGCTGGATTGTTGTTTATCACCCAACACCCTGAGGTATTTAATATCACTACTAATATTATATATAAAGATATCTACAGTAAATGTTCTATAACAAAACTTTTTTTAACTATTGATTTTTAAAGAAAGGTTCGGAAGGAGGTCAAGACCTAATCTTGCCCACTGCCGGCTACCTTACTGCCTCTCTTAGAAACTTACTTACTGAGTCTTACCGACTTTCATTTTCATATCACTCTCTCCGCCCCATCTTTGCCCTTCCAGCAGCAACTTCCCTCATTCCTTCATTAAAGGGGGGGTGAAGGGGCTCTGACAGTTCAGTCCTTACAGGCAGGTTGTTGTTCTCCTCAGCCAGGTGAATTACCTTAAGAAGCTTCCCTTTCAAATCAAGCCTCTTGTCCTAATTAGTGTCTAACTGAACGACTGGACTGTAGCTGGATGTATTGCTTTTATTTTGTCATTTATATTACTGATCACATCGTATTATAATGGCCGAGATGACTTCTGTGGCTTGCAGGTATCGAGTCATGACAAAGTTAAAATCTCAGTAAATGTTTTGCGGAGCCCACCAGCTTGATAACCCCACCTGCCTTGCACTTCACGTGGCATGAACTCATCTGCCTGCCCTCTGAAACTGGCAATGACATGTAGGTGTGAGGTGAGGTCAGGAAACTCTCCCAGACTAGATAAACACTCTGTCCTGTTTACTGAGACTTCAAACCTGAAGCAGCGCGCTTGCGTTTGTTTTAACCACACACTAAAATGCCCCTAACCTTTTCCAGCATCTGTTCCAAAGACTACTGCAATTACATAAATGCTTATTTGCCTTTCTGGAAATCAGTGTCATGCCACTAAATGGTCACGTGTAGGAGTATAGCCCTTTTGTGAAACAAAATAAATGTTTCTTGGTAAAAATAACTCAGACTGCTGCTTTCAAAACACAACATGCCAGAAAGAACTCTGTTCTGTCTGCCATTTTAATTTCACTCACATGTGAAGAACTGGTTTTGATCTCTTCAAACTAGTGATATTGTTAAAGTGGAGGTCTCTTACTGAACCTAGGAGGATACAGACTTATCATTCCAGCACAGAGCTCTGCAGAACCTGTGAGAGGCCCTCTATTCTAGCCCGTCAGCCTTGCTGTTTCTCTAAATTTCTCAGTTTAGTTCATAGTTGCCTGGCAACCTGAGTCTCCTTTCGGCCATGCTTAATGATGCTCCGTCCTTCTGTCACAATTTGTTTCAGCTGTGCCCCTCTGATTCCCCCCACATACTAATGGCTTACTGCTTATATTCTGCTTGTGTGCTCTATGATGGATTATCTGTTGGTTTTATCCTAATACCCAGTGTTATTTGTCTTTTGTTTTAGGTGTAGTTTTGCTGTCTGAATTTGTGTTTGGGCAGTGCAATGTTGAATTTTGGAGACAACTTTGCCTTCTCTGTGTCCCCATTACCACTTACTCTCTCTCTTTCTCCCTCCTTGACAGGCGCAACATCTGCTCCCTGCCTCATATTCATCTTCCCTGCTGTCTTCTACATCCGCATCGTTCCAAAGGACGAGGAGCCTATGCGATCCACTCCCAAGATCCTGGTAGGCTGCCCATCCTCACCAAAATGAATTCTGCCATTGTAGCAATTACACTCAAACAACATACTGTATAATCTAAAATAGTGCTTCATGCATTAATGTTATTTGTCTTAACTTATTTTTAACATTTCTACTTAGATATCACACTTTTTTAAGTGTTTCTAAAAATTAGAGTACACATAGATGATATGCAATTTAAAACGACTCCCAGTTTATCTATTTACAGAGCTCTTTAATATATTTTACAGCACATTGAGACATCCTTCTAGGCACTACTCATTGATTATTTCTTCTCATTTTTCAGGCTGCCTGTTTTGCCGGGTTGGGAGTCCTCTTTATGATAATGAGCCTGAGTTTCATCATTATTGACTGGACAACAGGGAGCAACAGTGCTGGTGGTGGCCATTAGGCCCCACCCCTGTTTGTGGGGAGTTAAGAATTATTGCTGTTTTGTCACTGTTTAGAGGATGCACCATCTCTTCGGATAGGAAATATCAACCAGGGCTGGACTTTTTCAAGCTTTCCTCAGCTGTTGAAAGATCCAGCACACAGTGTACAGTTAATTATTGTCCTGTGCCTGGACAGATGGGTTAAAGTCAACACATGAGAACCACCATACCTCAGTGAAGGGCCTTCGGTTGATTAGCCCGATCCATGACTTGAACTTGTTAGAAATCCTTAATTATATTAATTCTTTATTTACTTCATGAAAACCTCCCTTCTTAGTCCATTGCCTTTAAGTTCACAAGAATTAATTGATGTGATTTGGCAGAGAGGATAGCAGATCTACAGTTTAGTTCCTCTGGGAAATTGATATGTGGAATCCTAAAACATTATTTTTTGCTTGCTTTTCTGTTTTTTCATGTTAAAGTGAGAAACAAAAATTAAAAGAGAGATTCGTTGATTTGGGAAGGTAGTGATTACCATTTAAATTCAGAAGCTAGGTAAAGTTGTACAGTATACCAAGGAACAAACAATGGTTATTTCTACACTGTAAAGCAGAAAAAAGAAAGACAACATTTCATCTGTTGAGCCTCTTCAGATAGTAGTTTGAAAATCGTGCGTAGCTCTGTGAATTCTCAAATGAGAAAAACTTCCAGCACAGAAACTAGAACAGAAATTAAAAAAGACACTCACTGGAACATTTCAGTGGTTTTAGTTTTCTATTTTTAATTGCCAACGATTTAATCATTTCTGATACACATGTGACGACATCTAAACTCCTTGCAAATACTTGCTAGGAGCTGAGGTAAACGCAATAAAGCCAACAGTGGTTTTAACATTGGAAGATCTATGGTGCCATTGTAGCAATTCCAAAGGTAACCCTGCCTGAAGATACAGAGTAAAGCTGAGACTGAACAGACATTCAGAAAAGGGATAGTGCATCCTTGCAAACATGACGGAAGTAGACATTCAAGCTGGCTTGCTGAAATTGCAACCTTTCTCCCCGGTAGCCCTTAATTACCCTGAACTAACCTTTTTCCTAACCCCTGAACCTTGTGAACTACAGCTAGTACTGTACAGAGGCAAAGAAAGAGCACAGTTAAGTTTTGTAATACCAGAGCATACACTACAAATGTTAGGAGTGTAGAGTGTTATTTAGTATTTTTATATAAAGGCTATAATGATAAGTTATTTTGTAAGTAGGACTGGGGAAATATAATGTGCAATAGAAAAGAAATGGGCAGTCAATTGTACTGGAGCAATATCTGTGGCATTCCAGGTACTCTATTCATCTGCTTCCTAGACTGCCATTCTATTTTCAGAAAACATGAACAAGGTCATAAATGAATGTTTGGCCCATGTTGCTCATTTAGGTGATAATGGCTTATCCTTCTTCCTGGAGTACATTGTCATTTATTCATTTTGTGTGTTTTCAGCACAAGAAAACAAAGAGTTTTGAGCTTTGCCATAGGTGTAGCAAGCACATTTTGTGGCAGCTCGGTCTCATTTTTGTGCCATATTTGTGGTTTGGACTGTGGCGCAGTGGTTAACATTTCTGCTTCGGCACTGAGGTGGCGGGTGGATGTTCTTCCTGTGTTTCTTCGCATGCTCTGTTTTCCTCCTGCAGCCCAAAGACATACAGTTAATTAGCTTCTGGGAAAACTGGCCCTGGTGTGAGTGTGTGTCTGTCTGATGACTTGACTTGGCAATGAAACTAAAACATTTGATCAAACAAAGTATATACTCTGAACTGTCTCATCATTGTGGGCCTTTGGTGTAAGCTACTCTAGTGAGTAAGGTCTGTCAAAACAAAAGAAAAAATAATTTTGAATTAGCTATTAATGGTTAAATAAGAGCAATACTATATAAGGAAAAGATGAATTTTGCAAATGGCTTTTAGACTTACATTTTACTTAGGGGAAATATCTCATTTCAACAGGTGTTGAAATTCAAGGTTGTCTCATGTTTGATGTATCCAGTATAGACTATAATTAAGATGACTTAGTGTTGAGATATTTCAGATATTATATATTATATACGTTTATTATTAAATCCAGGAAAATTACATTAGTGTTACATACAAACAGTGAATCAAACAGTATATATCAGGAAAGAGGTAAAAAATGCTAGAAGCTTCATTTCATAATTACAATCCAGTGAAGTAAAACAAAGCTTCTTTTAAGTGTCCTTTGGATACTTGTATTCAAACTGCCATTTCATATTTTAAATAATTTTTAGTATTGAGTATTAATCGGTTATACATTTAAAATGTGTACTATATTAATTGCAAATCTTTGCAGTGTTGAACAAATATTGCACACATGTAAATCATTTTATACTTTGTATTTAAAGCTATCTGTCAGGTTTGATGGACAATATTTCTCAGATTTTAATGCTTGTAAAAATTGAAATGCTTCTCAAAAAACAAGTTACATTTCTCAGACACTATATGATAGACCATCTCTGTTTTGGCTTAGGAGCTGAGAAGCTAGCTTTCTTCGCCGAGCTAGATATATTTGCTTGAAAACAAAATGAAATCTGAAAAATGTGAAACTTAGTAGTTTTTAGTAGTTTTATTTTTAATCAGCAGAAAAGAAATGGTTAGGAAGGACAGGCTTTGTCTTCTTAGAGCAAAACTGAACTAGTGCCATATTCAGGAAATGAACGCAAACTTCTCAGAAACAAGTTTTTTTTTTCATTTTTGGTGCAGCAACACTGAAGACAGAATGTTGAAACATTTCTTACACACCATTTTCTTATTGCTGTATTATTCAAACCAAGTGGTTATATTATTTAAGGTTTATATTATTATTATACTGTAATAATATATATTATTGGTGTATAACTCTACATTATAAAGTTACATAAAGAAGGGTATCCTGTCCTCAGTCTCCTTCTGTTTTCCATTGTTATTGTTTTATCTGAACTATTGTTTTATCTGAACTCACCTGCCAGAGCTCTGCTTATATTTAACCCCAGTCCTACTTAAGAAAATTGTTGTGTTATTGTTGTTTTTATTGTATTTTATTGATTTCCACATTTGTGGATGTTTTAGTTTATAATGTACAGTAGTTGATTTTCGTAATTTATAGAGGTGGGTGTGTCTGAGAGTTTCACCGCATTTCAAAGTGCGTTCTTGTGAACTGCAAAAGTTGTGGTTCACCTAAACAAGCATGCCCTTTCACCAGCTTGCAAGTCCCATTTTAGGAAGAACACGTTCACAACTGGACATTGGTTTTAATGGTGAAACCCTACAGTATATCCTTTGTTACAGAGCAGTGACTGGCGTACAGTAACTGAATGCTTATACTAGTCTTTTCTGTCAGTCTTTCAGTCTGGTCTCTACAGCACCATCCTTTTTTACTTTAACTGGCACTTATTTCAAATTATGTCACGTCAGTGTTCAAGTATCACGTCGAAATATACCATGATACTTTTTCAAAATCCTAATTTTCAACAAAATATATACAATTTCCTCATCTACATACTAGTTTATTTCATATTCATGTTACAGGAGGATGGTGAATTGATGTTATTCTCCTGTACTGTAACCTAAACTTGTACTGGCTTCCTAACAAGGGGATAAGGAATGTTTATTACTTATGGTTAACAAGTTTAATCCCAGGCTGTTTAATATGCCATCTATTAGAACTATCATTGTCCACAACAGACTGTCAGCTATTTATTAATTGATGCAAGCAATGATTGATGTCATGGTTGAAGAGCTGGTTAAAGCCTAAGTCTGGAAAGGGAATTGATAGAAAGGACTAGCTGACTTGATATCTGAGAATCAATGTGAACAATTTGGCATGTTTTTATGTCATGATATGAGCGGTAGTGTGCAAAAAAAGTCCATGTAAAAATGTAAGATTGTGTTGCCAGACACATACTGTACCATGTTAAAGAACCAGGGCAGACTTTGTTAAAACTGATTGCCAAATGTTGCCTGGGTAACTGGGTACTCTCACAAAAACTCTTGTTTTCTTATTGTATTTTTGGTCTACTACTAAAATAATGAAATGGCAATGAGTGAATAACAATATGTATGAATTTTGGGCTTACATGTCAGCATTTATAAATAATGTATATATTTAATAAAAAAGTAAACCCTTTATATTCTTGATGCATATCTAGTTTGTATAGTGTAAATAGACAGCAGGGACAGTTTTAGTTTGACAATAAAATAAAAGTAGTGATTTTTAAAAGTGTTTAATCTTGTTTTTTCTAGATTTTTTTACTTTTCATTATAAATACATTCACGGCACTTACTATAGCTAATGCAAAGAACAAAAACATTCATACCACATCCATCTTGTACAAGGGTGAATGAATTCTGAATAAAATTTTGTTAAAACAATAGGAAGGTACCTTTTTTTTTCCTTTCAGGTTTTTCTTTAAAAAGTGGGCACAAGTTTTTTCCACACCTATTATGAACAGACGGTTTACGTTTCTCCTCCTTACCAAACTAATATGAGCAAGGAAAATAACAAATTGCTGTGTCTTTTACTCTCACAACATGCAAACTTCATCGATGTAACCCAGACCTTTTCTGAACTTGTTTTTGAGCTGTTAAAGTTGACCAAGGCAGACCTCTCTGTAGACTGTTTCTATCACCAGCACATGAAGAAAATCCAAAGGTCAGGTTTATGGTGCTCAAATTCAGTCTTGATCAGATTTCTCACTGATGTGCTAATCAGTGCTTCCAGAGTGGTACTACACTGAGGATTTCACATTGTAAAATGAATTTTGTCTTCCCAAGCAGATAGCTATAAGGGTTAAGAGGAAATGGGGTTAAGAGTTCAGCTTTGAAAGCAACAGCTTGGGTTCAGTGGAAATGGCAGATAGTAGGTGAAAGAAAAGGCATATATAAGTTGTCACTTCCAAGATCCCATAATGCTGTGTTTGCTTTTCAGAGATGCACATGGGCAATGCATGTCACTCATAAGTGCCATCACGCAGTCAGGTGGTTCTCCACTCCACACAATCACACACACACACAACACCTTCCCACACCCCACAGTTCCCCTCTTATTTTCCCATTCTGCAGACATGTTTTTCTCTGTCACACCACCACTGAAGTGTTTATGGTAAAGCATTAACCTGAACAAACTCCTTGGAACTGCCCCAGTTATTAAAACAAACGTCTAGGTCCTTGTTCACTTGTAACTATGATATGTAAAGCACACTGAACCATTAAAAGTTACTTTCTCATTTACAGTAGTCTGTGTTTAGGAGAATACTATCATGTCCATATTCGGTGAAACTACAAAAATCCAAAACTCTGATTTTCATGAATAATATTACTGATAAGTTATTCATCTTACACTCTTCATTTCTTAACATTTTAACTGGCAAACATGGAACAAGAGAAAGCTCTCTTATGCCTAAACTAAACCAAATATCTAAATCTGCAAAATTTGAAACTGGAGAAGTACATTTTTGTTCAAACTAATTCCAAGATGAAAGCGCAGATTTCATGCCAGTTTTAGTGACAGTGAGTTTAAGCGTTATTTACTTAGGAATATTCTCAAGATTAGGAAACATGTGGCTACAGTATGTGATTTGGAGCAAAGCCATTTGTTAATATGAGGTTTAAAATTATGTTTGACCTCGAAATCTGTTGATTATGATGTTTACATGATGTTATGTAACAACTTTGACTATTTTATGTTATAGCCTTTTATATTCCGAAATTTTCAAGAAATTCAATGCACTTTGAAAATGTAGTATTTGGGGTTCCATTACTTTGGTATGATAGACTGTACAATATGTTTATTGAACTAAACCTAATTAATATAGCAGGCCCCACTGCTGCTGATAGCTTATCAAACAAATCAGCACTCTAATACATGAACACTCTTAATGTTGATATTCCTTTATTTTTTGTGCCCTTTCAAACTTTTTAATGCTTTAATGCTTCCTGAAACTGTAAAGATGTTGTACATTTTCTGTTTGGGTAATCCTAATAGTGTTTGTAATCTTACATAATGGTTACATCTTACATCTACAGTATTACCTTATAAACTCAACTGCAACCTGTCAAAACAGATAGATTTTACCTGGCACATTTTAGATCTGTGTTTTGAAGTATAACCTTGGTTCTTCTTTATAAAACATTTTACATTCTAATAATCTCACTGTTATTGCCGTGTTGGCACGAATCCAAGCAAAAAAGAATTCTATTATGATAAAAGTAAAATTACACAAGGTACAAATCTAAGCACTCAGAATTACATTAACAGTTTTTCTGTCCTAGGTTAACAAAATCAACATTTACTAAGGGTTCAAGGTCCAAACATAAAATTGCCAGTCGCTGGCAATTCTTCTTAAATGATATTTTTAGTGAATTCTGAAAAAAAAATTGGGAAAGTGTGATTGAGTAGGTGTCATGGACGTCCAAAGGGACAAACCTTGGGGAGCAGGAGAGCGGAAAAAGACCCATATGCGTAGCGGCGAGACGGGAAAAAGGCCCATGCTCATTAGTGCAAAGAGTTCAGGAATGCCGTATAGAAACCTATGCCCTCAGGGAGCGGACGTGGGGCGCCCTGGTGCTAGGCGGGTCTCAGGACATCCGAACGTCAATGCTGAGCGAGGGCAGAGTGCAAGACCCGGAAATATATAGCCCAAGGGAAAGAGAGGGACCGGAAGGACAGCAGGCAGGAAACTAGGGACAGGACAGAGAAGGAGTGCCCTCTGGCTGCAGAGGGCATGCCAGTATGGGACAAAAATGGTTACACATCAAACCAGGATTGTTCCTCCTATCATCTGCTATAACACATGGTATTGCAGGGGAATATGTGAAAATCCAGCTTTTGGTGCTCATGACTCTGCTGAAAGTATAGAAAGTGGAATAAACTTTTAAATCAACTTAAATACAGACGCTTGCTGGAAGCTTATTTTTATATTGAATTGTTTATAGCCAAGAGGACTAGCTGTGGCTAATTAATGCTAGAGGTATGTGCCGGCTTTGAAAAAATATTCAGCCTTTTTTGTGATCTGATTTAGAAATACACACATAAAACCAGACAATGGTACTGTAATAATATCAAAGTACTCGAAACGCCCTGCTCTACAGTTGTGTGCACTGGAACCATTGTCTAATATTCTCTTCATCACACCGACTATGCTCATGTGCACAATACAAAATGACATTTATCTGATAAGCTTGAAAGAGATTTATTCACTATAACTCTTGACAATTTTGGTCAGCCCTGCATAAGTTCAGCCTCTAGAACGATGTTCAAGATAAGGCCTGGATTTTGAAGACACTCGCATACTGGAGTTAGGATTGTGAGGATGTTTATAGTGAACATGATCGATATTCCAACAAGCTGGTCATGAAAGGGTATGTGTATGCTACTGGAAGACACAGATAGATTGGAAAGTCATTCTTCTTTAAGTGTGAAAGTATTCACGGCTAAGCCTGTTCAGACGAGGTTGAATTCAACACACGGACCTTCAAAACGCCTGTTCAGACCCACAGTGGCTCATCATACAAAGGTCAAAGCTTCTCATTATTTGAATATTCTGAGAATATTCTGAGATTCAAATTCCCTAGCTCATAAAATAACAAACAATAGTGTGCCACTCTAAGGGTGTACAGAGAAGATGCATAAAGCTTCTTTCCAAGTAAACAAGAGCTTAGATTACTGTTATTACTTTTTCACTTGTCTGAAGCTTTTCCCCAAAGCGGCTTTGGATCAGCAATGCAGCAGTATGTATTTTAGCCAAAGGAGTGTGATTCAGAATTACAGTGCAATACATTTGTGATTATAAAGTGCCATGATGGAAAATTCACTTACCAATGTATTTTATCTTGTATTTTCCTTTCTCTGACATTGTGCTCCTTGATCTTATTCACACTATGCGCTAAATTCCCACAGATTTCAGTTGAGTGGACATCACAGTAAAACAAATAAAATGAATGTCCTAGGTTAATTATTGCAAAACACTTGTAATGTTGACACTTTAGGCTCTCCAATCATTACTTTTCTCAGAAGTTAAGGTGTCATGTAAATAAATCTCTTTCCAAAACAGGAAACAATACCATCCCAGTTGTACTTATTTACCTTTTATGAGTGTCCTTGATTTAGCTGTTACTTCTGTTTATGATAGTTTGACAACTCTGACCCTTATTTTCAGGTGTTTAATAAACCCAACATGAAAAAGAACAGGTCAGTCTTGTTAACGTTTCATATATATATATAGGTATAGGTTACAGTTTAGGGAAAAAAAACAACAACATTTGGACCCTTTTTGTATGTATGTTTATGTATGTTGTCGTTTGTAAAAAATCGAGTTCAAAGTTTTTTTTCAATTAAACTTTTCAACAAAAGAATATGGTAGTGATGTAAGCAGTATCGATAAATTATAATACTACAAAGATATGAAGCGCATCTAAAAGTCGGAAATTCGTTAAGGACACTAATTTTAATAGAACCTTAATAGGTCTTGTAGAACACATGTCCAATATAAATAACAGAACATTATATACTCATATATAACTGTAAAATAAAGTTGCAAGGATCTCTAGAGCAATACTAAAATGGGGGATCTCTAACAGAATACAGAATGAAACACCGTATTCTGTACATTAGACAGTAAAGAAGCAATATACAGTACATAGGCAGAATGCGTAATTCAATATGAGTAACCGATATTAAAACTACAGTACTGCAACTGGCTGTGCGCGGCAGTACAAAATTTCAAAATAAAGCACCTGCAATCTGATCTTCAATGTAGACGTGTAGTGACAGGTTAGATTGTAGTAGTTTTTTGTGAAACTGTGAAAGAGGTATATAGACTATAGGCCGTGTATGTGAAACAGCGTGAACAAGATAAACTGGAGGAGGAATGATTCAATCGCAGAACACGATTAATGGAACGCACTAAACCGGTAGCGGACGCAGAAGAACAGGGAAAGGTACAAGTGAAACCGGCGCAATACTATTATGATGGATTTTTCAGATCTTTATTGTTGGCATGAAACACATTTGAAAACACGGAAGAAAAAGTCACTTTGTTTGGATACATTAAGGATGGCTTTGTCTTTTTTCAGCATGATACCCTTCTCCTTCCAGGACTCTCCTGTGCTTCTCTAATCGCTGAAGTTAATGGTCCGTTCTGTGTAATAACCTCTTAAAATCTCATTACTGCTTTCTTTATGCCTTAACTATCTACTAATGAAGAGTAAATAATTATTCAAGAGAGATTCAACAGGTTTTTTTAAAGTGAGATGTATTAAAGGAGGAGTTATTTATATTTCTAGATATTGTTTTTGATCTGTAGGAAATCCTTGAGTTTTAAAATTAAGTTTCAACTCTCCTTGTAATATAGTCCATCTTTCCATTATCTGAAATGTCGTAGTATGGACACAGCCTAGAGACTAGAGGGCCCAGAAACACAGGACGCAAGGTTGCACTGAGACCATGGACTGGACAGCGGTCTATTGCAGCCTAGCGAAACTGGTAGAGAGTTGTCTTTTCAATTAATAATAACACAATATATGTAAATTTGCATGAACCGATGCAGAAAAGAAAACATTAGCAGAAATAGATTGTCCAGGAAATATATACAAGAAAAAAATCTAGTACACCTACGCTATCGATACAAACATCACATCATCATCACTTATCCAATTCAGTGACATGTTGGCCCGGAGCCTATCCTGGGAAGCACCCAGCACAAGGCGGGATGTTCTCTGGACAGGATACCAGTCCAGTGCAGGCCACAGACAAACACGCACACATTCACACCAGGGCCAGTTTTTTTTTAATAGAAGCCAACCTGTTTTTGAACTGTGGGAGGAAACCGGAGCACCTGGAGAAGAACGATACAAACACCGAGAGAACATGTGAACTCCATGCACAAGGCACTCCAGGGATTGAACCAAGGACCCCAGATCTGCGAGGCAGCAATGATAACCACTGCGTCTCCGTGCCCCCTTTTTAACTAAACAAATACAACTGTAATTGTTCTTGCTGCAATTAACTTCACGTGATTAATAAAGTATCTTTGGACTCATAGGTGATCTTGCAGTAAGTACTGATGCAGCAACACAAGAGAGCGCTGTGGTACAGGAATGTTTCGTTTATCGTTGCGTGTTAATTTAAATTTATAGAAAGCATAATTTAACAACATAGTGGAGCAAATGAAAAATTCATTTTTTTTCGTTGTATGCCTTATGAGAAAATAATGCTTTATGAGTTACAATTTATATAGCACTTTTTCGATTCACTGTCTTATTTATTGCCCAGAAGGTACTTCCACAGTTTTCGTTTTATTGTGACAGAGCTTGACATTTTACGCATAAATGCATATTTTAAAAAACGTAGAATAGTCGCTGGAACTATCAATTATGTATTACTTTGAAGTAAAAGGCAGATATTTTGGCAAACTTTAGTATCTCATTTTTTAAATAAAATGAATGGGATATTTAAAGAAATGTTTAAACCAACATTAATTTATATTATTTATTTTGAATATTTCTGTTTAATCTGTTTTTACCCATCAAGGCAAGAAAATAAGCATTGTGTTTTTAATATAATTGTTATATCATTTCTAAGAACATTGGTGGAGTTTTTAGTAGTTGCTTTTATGCTCCAGAAGACGGTCACATCTTGTAATCTATAGCGATTGAAGACTATAATTTAGTTAAAACAATCCTTTTATCTCAGGTAGAGCTCTGGTTTTATAATGTACCCAGAAAGAAAAAACATCAAGGCGGCCACGGAGTAGGTTATTTGCTTAAGTACTGTTTTCAGCTGAGTTTCTCCCTGATGAGTGCGGTGATTATGATTAATGTTCAGGCCTTCCCTATTCTTGGCAGTACGCTGCGTTTTGCAGTACACAGTTTTTACTGTACTGATGTTGACATACGCAGGTATATTATAGTATAGTGCATAAGCGGATTAAGCGAGTAAATATGTATAGGGTAGCCTATTGTAAATAGCTGTCAAAAAGGTGCGCGCTAAAACCATGTCACTAAGAATAGCAGATCAAGCAGACATCACATTACTAAAGCTAATTAATGAAGAAAAACATACTGTTAATAATTTTATTTTGAAAATGCTGTGAAGGGAGGAGATGTTTTCTTTTTATCGGTGACTACTTTTCCGTTCAGTATATCACACTAAACTTCAAGGTAGTTATTTTAACTTTTGCATGACAATTTATATAAGGTTCCAATGTTGCTACAGTCCTTTACGATTGTGTTAGTGTTAGTGCAATTTTGTTAGTGAACTGTGTTAAACTTAATTGTATTTTAATTGCAAGTACTTCACAGTCAGGTATAACTCGAAATGCCCCCGGATAAATAAAAGGCTGAACACTTTGACATTGTATCTGACGAAATGAATTAAAATAAACGAGGGTGTTTAAACGTTACAGAAAAGGTGCCCTACCATTGGAAAATGAGATCTGCGCTTCCGAATTCTGTTGAGATATTACTGGTTCACAAAACATGCCTAAAACGGCCAGACCCAAATGGATAATGACTGTCACAGAAGACCGAAAACCTTGGACAAAAACATCATGACCCGATCAGATACTCGCTTGTGTTTAATAGGTTTAGATCAGTATGCGAGTTAAATTTACCGCGTGCTAAATATTGAACACAATATGGTTACATGGAAGACCGATCCATTGGTCCATTAAGCCCACTACTTCAGATTAACTCCACAAGTGGGTACATACTTGGACTCTGCTTTCACCAACATCTCCTGTGGCATCACATAGGCTGAACATAAACCACTGAAAAGAAAAGTGTAACACTAAATCACAATACTACAGCTGCCATCTCTCCGTTCACAGTAATGGACGTTGCAAGTTGATTAAATAATAATTGAGTCTTGAATCTCTTGTAACTCCCATGCTTGGAAAAAAATTATAGACTTATAGAAGCAGAAGTAATATAAACATTCTAGACAAGGTACGTTCGCTACTAATTTACTGGATGCCTTCGGCAGTTAGATGTAATGTCATTTTGGTCGCAATGCAGGTTACAAAGTGGTAATGTTGTTAGAAAGTGATAGATACTCTGCGCTTGCCCTGTGATACTTGACTGTGAGCGCTTATCAGAGCTTGGTAATGAAAATGGGAATCGAAATGATTAATACAGTTTAATCTAACGTGACACAAAACGCGCCTTATTTTTTAATACAAGTTAGGAAATACAAAGATAATAAACACATTGTTTTATTTGCCGTTATTTATATTATTTCAGAGTGCAAAGGAGAAGACTGTTAAATTAATAGAATGAAATGATAATGTGTTTCAATTCAATATTGTAATTAGACTTCTAGCAATGAACAAAAGGCTTTTACTCATTAGGAATTCTTGTTTTTTTTTTTCACTGAGGTTTTTTCCCAAACCTCTCTGTTAGCCCGAAAGAGTACAGTTGGTCTTTTTATGGAAAGATGTTTAAACAGTAACGAATAAACAGTTACAGTAAATGTACAGTAAGACACGGTCACCTGTTTAATGTGCGAAACAGTGAGAAGGATAATTACCAGAATTCCTCATCCCAACATTTTTTCGACATTGCGCTTATCAAGTTTTGATTTGCAGCCATTTTCTGTTTTGTTGAAATGCCATGACCTATATAATGAGCTACTGTAATTTATAGCTCATTGTCTCTGCTCACGTGTTAAACTTGTTTGCCGCATGGCAGTTGTTCGACGGGGCGAATAATCTTTACAAGAGCCATCACGCTTTAGGGTTTTCAGTACATACTGTAGCTGGTGCTCTGGCCTACATCCTTGCTGATGTTGTGGAGTTAAGGGAAAACCACGCATTGAAACGCGCAGTGTAAGGCAAATCCGAATTTTGCATTTTTGCTTTGCTTAAATGTAAATCAAGTAAACACCAGAAACGGAAAGGGAAACCAAATGGTTGTTCGTAAAAGTGTTTTACATGATATGACGAAAAAAACGGGAAAGCAAAATTCTTAAATAGTAACTATAATTACCAACGTCGAAACCACAGGGAAATCGAGCGTCTACGCTTCTCGGAGTGAATTACCACGCTAAACATATTTGACCAAAGATTACTTTCACAGCATTATGTCGAAGAAAAGTTTCTAAATTAAACATCGGCTTAATTTAGTCAACCAAAGACAGCCTGTCTCCGTCTTTATTCCATCCATTGATGAAGCTGGTTGTTTACTGTGAAGTGCAATTTGGTCAAGTTTTTTTTTTAATGCTCAGTGTCTTAGCCTACGCAAGAACTTCTGTGAAAGTTGCACAAATTGAACGGATCCAAAGGGAACCAAAGTCATTTAAAACTCATTGGTATGTTGTATACCAAGGGAAAAGTAGAGTAAGCAATAGACTTATCTGTTATTAGCTATATAATGCATAGCTGATGTTTATGGACAACTGTTTATATCAGAGTCTGTGCATAAATCTCAAATTGTCCTTACAAATCAATACAATATAATTGTGTAACCTGAAATGCGCAGAACCGAATTTCTGTGGACTTTGTCTCCGCAGAAGACTACACTTCCCACGATGCAGCGCCAGTGGGCGTGCAGACGGAGGTAGGCAGAGTGCGGTGCGGGGAGCTTCAGATTTTTCTCTCTTGCTTTTCAGGCAGAGAGGAACTTCTCAGCGGGTTCGGGTGTGGCGTCAACAGAAATACTGCAAATAAATCAAGACTAGAGGATTATTTCATTTGCATTGCCGAGTCCTGATCGGAGCCGGGAGGCTTTGCAGAAATTTGATAGCAAAGGGAAAAGGAGGATTGGTGTGTATGTGTGTGGTTTTTTTAACTGTTGGTGTACCAATTTGACTTTTTTTTTCTTATTTTATGGTAATTGATTTGACTCTGTATAGCTGTCCAGCTGGTGGAATATAGTTGAACAGTTACTCATTTCCTCCTATCTTGTTCTCTGCGTGCAAGAAGCTGTACGGGGAAATCTTAACTTCTTTGAATCTTAATGTGACTTTTAAAAGAAGTTCTTGCTGGCCCCTTATATTGATTATTGCGAAGACCAGCTTAATAGTGTGGTTTGCTTGCTCTTCTTGCACCTTTCGCTTTTTGGTTATTTCTCAAATCATCGTGTTCCAGCTGAACTGTGATTAATGGAGCGTTACATGCGTACAGGAAATTAAAGATTTCTCCGAAAACACAAGAAAAAAGAAGGGCATTTCTGATTTTTTCATAACTTTTTTTTCCCCCACGAAGATTTTTGTGTATGTGTGGATAAACCTTATTTTTTTCTTCGTTTTGTCATCAGAATAGGAATTTGCCAGTTCTTGATTGTGTGAAGGATCCAGAATAACGCGGGACTGGTTCTTAGCACCTGTTTTTTTTTTTGTATTCAAGTGTATACATACATTTTTTTGTGAACCATTATTCGTACCTGCGTGTGTGTGCAGTTGGAGCCATGGGTTGTACAGTAAGTGCTGAAGATAAAGCGGCGGCCGAGAGATCCAAGATGATTGATAAAAACCTCCGGGAAGATGGGGAGAAAGCCGCTAGAGAGGTGAAACTGCTGCTTTTAGGTAAGAAGGAAGGCTTTCACTCTCATTAAAATGTTATTTTCCCTTTTAGTTTGACTGTCTCGCAGGCGCCTGTCCACGACCGTTCAAAGACGTCAAAAGCATCATTGTTTGTATTGTGTGATTTAGATGTAGATTTGTGCCGCGACCATTAGAATAAACGGACTTGGTCAGCTAGCGGATGCTGACATGAGGAATTGAAATCTATCTCAGGTGAATGGGTTTTATCCCCCAGTAGGAGATATGTTTTTGTACCGCGGTCTCTGTGCGGGACTTGGCCAAGCTATTTAGGAATAGGATGAAATGCTCTGGCTTAATTTACTGCACAGAACAGTGATTCCGTGGTTTCGTTTGATGGAAACCAAGTTAATGTAACGTGCTGTGTTATTTTACATGTGTGACCAGTGTTACGTCCCTCGCTTAGGTAAACGTATAGGATTGACATTTTTACCGTGCAGGCTGTGCGCGTATTCATCCTGCGAAGACTCGTTGTCCTTCGCACAATGATGTGCTCGTTATTTTGTAAAGTGTTGGAAACATTTCTGAATGAGTTAAGTTCAGGCTCTTTGTTTCCCTGGACAGATAAGCTGTGCTTGCGGTACACGTCTTATTTAGTGTATTTAGGTACAGGCGGATTTATGAAGCGCACGTATTGACGCTGCAGTGCGCGTAAAACTGCCACAGGCTTGCAGTGCCTGTGCTGTGTATGTCATCTATAAGCTTCGGTCCTGAAATTTTTTGACTGTGGTAATGATTCTGTGCCGTTGCAGTGCACAAGTAAAAATATAGCCTTGATAATAGCTAAGGTTTGCTCTAATTAAAAGCACAAGGGTAGGTCAGCCTTGTTTACATTACCAAAGGTTCCCTAGAAAAAGGAGTAGAAAGTCATTGATTTTATAATTGTTTACCACAACGCCAACAGCTTCATTAATAGGTCTATATTCTTACAGTGTCTGCAGTGAAGTGTGAAGCCTGCTTTTCAGTACACCACAGTTTCCCTGCTCTGCAGGCGAAGGTGTAAGTCTAATTAAGATCCCCATAATCTGTGGTCTTTTTTAACCTTTCTGTCAGTGGCAGCAGACCTGTCATAAGTGTTGATAGTGACTTTTAAAGAGGCTGTACAGCTTCACTTTTTGATTTTGTGGTTTAGTGCCACTGGTATTCTAAATGTTGGAGCTGTGAGCTCAGTCTAGCCCATATTCAGTTGATTAGCAATAGGTTAGGGTAAGGTTTCCAAGAAATGTGCTGACTCTCTAACCCATAAACCCTGGGTCAGCTTTGTTCCTCCATACATATAAAAAATCTTCTAGCCTCATCCTGAAGGGCTCTGGTTTTCCCATGATGCTTCAGTCTGACCTAGTGACTCCACATCTTGAAAATAAGTTATCCTCCTTCTGCCTGATTTATTTACAGTAGGCTGGCTTTGTATGTTCCTTATGTTTAGGAGAACTGAGTGAAATGGTAGTACTGACGTACTGAGATGTAGTTGCTCCAGAATTCAGATTTGGCCTTTTGTCATTCTGGAGAAACGGGTTTCATGCCTGCTTCATATGTGTGTCTCTGAAATGAGTCCTTGGCTTGGTGTACTAACTTAAACTTCATGGTTAATGGTTACCTGACTTCAGTCATTGAAAAAAGGACTTTCGGAATCACTTGAGTATGATTGCTGGTGGAAACAGACAGCCTGTTTACCATAATAAAAACCAGTTCTGCCTGCTGAAAAAGTAGATAATGGTATACTTTCAGGATAAACTGACCTCTCTGTAGCCTGAAAGACGGCTTCTTTTAAGGTAAAATAAGAACAGAATAAAGGCTTTTGCTTAGACGCAAGGAATAATGTGATTATTAATTTAGCTGTCCTAATTATTCATGCTGTGGGATACAGCTGAGGAGAGTAACGCATGTTACAGTGTCCAGTTTGTCCCTGGATGAGCCTGTTCTTTTTACCCTTTTCAAAGAGTTTTGACAGTGTCCTCCACCACACCTAGAGAACATTTCAAACAAACCAGAGACCTGGCAGGTAAGAGGCCTCACCACAGATGAAACAGAACAACCTCACAAAGACAGTTTTGGCAGTCGCCACTGTGTAGTCTGAGTTTAAGAATGGCAGAGTGTCCCTGATCTTAGACAAAACGTGTGGAAGAACGGATGTCATTCTGCTCATCTTTTTCAAACATTTTTTGAATGATCTGAAAGTGCAAGTTTGAAACTGCCTGTGAACGGATGTATCTAGATTTATTTGTGATTTGGAAATGAATGGGCCTTTGCCTGTGCAGCTACTAAGATGGAAGGCACTTAAGCTTCAGAAAATCAACCATCATGCAGATAAGGGATTTAAGTTACTTTTGTTTTGAGCCACATTCTGTCTCAGACGTGTCTCGCTTCCTCAATTTGAAACACAAATGCTTAGTTACAAAAACACTTTTAAAGGCCCAGTCCCCCGCACCCAACGTGCATGCGTGCTCTCATCCTGTTGAAAATCATCAAAGTCTGCAATACAGAGCCTTATTCTGTTAAAACTGACCATTTTAATTCCTAATTTCCTAATTATGAAGAGTCAGACCATCTTATTTCCAGGTCAGTTAATGGCAATACGTTTCTGATTCTGATTTCACATTTGGGTTTTGGTTGTTTTACATTGTCTTGCCCTGCAGAAGTGAGAAGGGATTTGAGAAAGAGCATTGTGTTCTCATGTTGTGCAATTATTTGGAGTATTATGAACAGTTATGATAATCAGAATTCATAAAAGGTCTTGTTGCTCTGGAATCAGTTTAAAAAAAAGCAGCAAGGCTGAATGGACTGTCCTCCATTGATAGGTTACAAGAACTTACTTTTTTGAGTCATGAAAAGAGAAGACTATGAGGAGACCTGATTCAGTCCTTAAAGGCACTGACAAAAGCAACCCAGGATTAGGATAAGATAAGATCACTTTATTGACCATATACAATTTTTCTTGTATAAGGAATTTGTCTTTCGACATACCCCAACTTGCTCTCCATGAGACACGCATACAGGGAGAGAAGCTTGGGATCCTAGCATAGGGTCAACCATTTATACGGCACCCCTGGAGCAGTTGGGGTTAAGGGCCTTGCTCAGGGGCCCAACAGAGTAGGATTTCTCTGCCGGCCATGGGATTCGAATCAGCAACCTTTCAGCCCCAAGCACAGATCCTAAGGAGTGAATCATAAACCATGGGACACAAGTCGAAGTTAAATTGGAAGTCGATTTAAAGTTGGGTACAAAGAGGCACTTTAGTGCTCAAAGGATTGTGGGAGTACACCTAGCCATGTTGTTGACCAATACCTTCCTTCTATAATAGAAAGACTGGAGGAGTTGATTGGATCTGTTAGCTCCTACCAGATAAATAAACTGGGGCCAAATGGCTTCATTAGCAGGCTTTCTAATGCTGGTTTAATATGAATAATATGTCCTTTGATAAATGGACAAATAAGTGGTAGTCATCCAGAAAGTCTTTTAATGGTTTTGAAGGGGATAGTTGTTTTTATTATGTGCTATAAATTGGCCACTATAAATGAAAACAGGATTTAGGTGGATGCATTTAGGAGGATGTGCTTTTTAGTCTGTTAGCATTGCATAGACTCCATGGGTAGGTGTGACAAACTCTGCAAAGTTCTACTTTCATCTCCAAGAAGCCCTTGAGATTTGCAGGTGTGAAAGCCTGGTTATCAGACGGTTAAGTGTGTATCTCCCTCCAGACTGTTAAGAGCCAAGTGGTCTCAGATATTTTAATGAAATCTTTTTTTTTCTTCCTCTGATCCAGAGTATTAGTAGGAGAACAGTGTCACATTTAATTAAATTATGCAGTCAGTCGCTATCTCAGAACAATTTTAATACAAAGGGTGAGGTGCAGTCATATGCAGAGATAAATCTGACTTACTGCTTCAGGAGTAGCAAAAACTAGTCCGACATAGCCTGCTTCTAAATGTTATTTCACCAGGGTATAATTTGTAAGTCCCCAAGAAGCTGTTAAAGAATTGAGAAAGTTGGTGGGAAAAACTTTTAATCCGCTAAAGCTGTCTTTTACAGTTCTTCTCAAATTCTGGACTCTGACCCTAAATTAATCCTATTGGCAACTTGATCCCCAGCAAATTCCACTTCTGCTGCTTTTATTTTTGGGATTAATCTCACCCAGCCTTGGTGGAAGGTCAGCTGAAATGGAAGTTTCCTTGGCAATTCCCTCTCCTCACAGTGTGATTCCATTGTCCGAGTGAGCCCGCATGGCCACCTTCATCTCTCCTCCTGCCTGGATACACACACGCGTACAGAAGTCACTGTGCATCCCCCAGTGTCAAAGAGAGTGTTGTGTGTTGTTCTCCCTTTTAAAGATTAAAACTGCATAATCCGGGTTGAGGGTATGGGGATATTTAATCCTTCAGTTCCTCATTAAGATTAATCTTCTGACCCTCCCCTCCCTTCTCACCACGCTCTCTCCCAAATGTAAATATTTCTCTGTCACGGATGTAAATATTACTTCTGAAAACAGTCCTGCACTCTGGTGACACCAGGAGGGTAACATAAAGAAAACAGCCGTTGGCTGCCTGGAGTGTCTACCTGCACTCCTCTTTGAAAGTGACCAACACACTGGCCAGTGTGTAGAGTTAATGCCTGGAAGTCCATATGCTTATCATTCCCATGCAGACGACTTCCAAAAATGTCAGAGAAGCGTTATTTCCGAATGACCACAGCTCCCCAGAATGAAACAGGGGCTCCGAATTTGGTCTGGAGCAGTTAAAGCTTTGCTTTCCTTCTTGCTGGTACCTCCTGTTCTGAGCAGCCTTCCCTCTCTACTGTTTCAAGAGAAAGAAAGGTTCCAGAACTGTGGTGAGCAGAATTCTGAGGAAGGAACGACAGGGTTCTGAAACTCTGCTTTTGTTCCATCGAAACAAAGGAATGGGAAGCAGTGTGGAGTGTGAGGTAACAAGTTTTTTGTCAGTGTGTTGTCTCCTAGTGCCAGCATTTCCAATTACATCAGCAGTCTTGAT